GCCGATCATTCTGCAAACGAGTAGCAACAAGACAAGTACGCCCCTGTTGGCCCACTCGGTGAACGGTACTTGGCCTCCATCGAACGGAAACGAGAACAACAACGAAGCCGACCTACGCGCGGAGGACGGATACAACAGTACCATTCATCATCACCATCACAAGAAGGTCGGCGGCAACATGACCGAGGAAAAGGCGCCTCTCTTTCCCCAAGATCTCTTCACCGTCCATCAACGGCGACGCGGTGCCGTGATTCTCCACGTAATCGGTGTTGTGTACATGTTTGTCGCTTTGGCGATCGTTTGCGACGAGTTCTTCGTGCCGTCTCTCGACGTGATCATCGAGAAACTCGAGATCGCCGACGACGTTGCGGGTGCTACCTTCATGGCGGCCGGGGGTTCGGCCCCCGAACTTTTCACATCGATAATCGGCGTGTTCGTGTCGTTCGACGATGTCGGTATCGGCACTATCGTCGGTTCCGCCGTATTCAATATTCTCTTCGTGATTGGCATGTGCGCTATATTCTCGCGTACCGTGCTCTCCCTCACATGGTGGCCTCTGTTTCGCGATTGCACCTTTTATAGCGCCAGTCTGCTCACCCTGATCTATTTCTTCCGCGATAATTATATTCACTGGTACGAGGCCCTCGTACTCTTCGGATTCTACTTGGCTTACGTGAGCTTCATGAAGTGGAACCAACCGATGGAGAAGCTCGTCAAGAGAGTGCTTCACAGAAATAAGGTGACCCGGGTGAGGTCTACCGATCAGCTGATGCCCTCGGTATGTACACCGTTCTATACGGCAAACGGATTATTAACGCACACTGAAACGGAAACGTGTCGTGCACACATTCAACCCTCTCTCCGAAAGGGCAACTTTTTTAAAACGAGACAACAAATTCCTTTTCATCTTTATTATATCTCTATTTTTTTTTTCTTTTTTCGTTTCTCTTCTTCTTATTATTATTCTTCGTCCAAATCGTCTGTCTACGATCTATTATATTATTTCTACGATTAGTTCGATCGCGCGTTATTACGTATCGTTTCTTCCTTTCAAAGAAGAAGAAATCGAAACGTTGCGTGACTTTGCCTACTCGCACGGCTATTACTCGTCGACGATTGTCTTTTCTCCCGTTGACGAACATTACCGCTCTCTTTGCTCTCTTATCGACTCGTTCTTTTTCCTTTTCTTTTCTTTCGTCGGGGGCGGGAGGGGGGAGGAGGAGGAGGAGGAGGAGGAGAGGGGGGATAATCGAGGGCTGATCGAGTATCGAGGTCGCGACATTGGCCACGTTATCGTTTCGGCCTCCTTCCTCCTTATCGTTTCCTCTTCTTCCATTCTTCCCACTGCATCTTCTCACTGCTCGCTCTTAAAACCCGTTCGATCTTTAAACAAATCGGATATCATCAGATCAGATATCATGTCATCATGTCGGTGCGAACGTGTACTTTTTGATATACGATAGAGCAGAATTTGTAAACGGGTCGTGCTTTTTACACGTATATCGCACGAGCGAATATCGACTAACGGTTTCACCTCTTTCCGTTTCATCGATTCATTCTCCTCGACACTCTCCTTGTATCTTAAATAAGGAAACGATGCCGACAACCTTGAATATCTCCGGTTCCGAGAAGGAAAGTAGGTGAAAGGAGAATTTTCATCGCGACCGAATGGAAAATGCTTGACTTTGGATGATCGCGTGCTCTTGATACCCGCACTTTGCGCAAGGTCGATCTCGACGAATAAATTGAAGCGAAAAATCCCGATGCGCCAAAGATGGCCCAATTACGCGCGTGTTCCATCCGACACAGCGCGCGTTTAATTAGTACACTTACCGCGCGTATCCGCTTTCAAATCCGGAGAAACGCATCTTTGGATATGGAGGTGGAAATTAACGTCGAATTAATTTCTCTCTACCTTCCAATCGAATCCTCGCGTCGTTGAATTTTCTCGCTTTCGAATTTTTCCACGTTTTCGTTCAAATTTTTCTCGAACGATGATCGATGAAACGACGCCACGTATAAACGTTACGTCCACGTTCCTCTCTTCTATACTCCTCGCAATTCTCGATGGACTCGTTAATGTTTCGAATTAAACTTTTACCAATTATTTCTATTCTAGATTGTTATAGTTGCACCCTCGATTAAACGCGTAACACGCATCTAAGAGAAGAAAAAGCTCGCTTGGACACGAACTTGGACTTCGGTGGATGAAATTTATGACACATCGATAGATTCGCGATGTAAACGACGCGAATAATAAATCGATCGATCGAATCGAATCTTTCGCCGATTAATCCACTCTCTCGCCAAGAATGGAATTTCGATTCATCGCGCGAGCCGATCGATTTTTGACAAAATCTAGCGATTAAAGAAACGAATCTCGAATTTTCGAATTCATATCGATTCGCGAACTCGAGAAAATTATTTTGTCGAAAATACGTTTCGAATATGTTTTTTTTTTTTTTTTTTTTTTTCTTTCGATTCAATTACGATTTTGCGAAAGAGATAGTTCGCGGAGAAAAAGATATTTCTTTGCTATCCTCGAAACGCATCGATCGGGGATCGATCCTCTTGAGAGAGGTAGTATATTCGATATACTCGCACGATTACTCGCGGGCTTTGTATTTTGCTGATCGCGCAACGTTGTCTATCGACTTCTTTCGATACGGGAATTGGGACAGTGGCGTTGATCTGACCGTACTCGGATCCCCCTGTCCTTTTTTTCACGACCCCATTGTCCATGGACGTGGAAGATAACTGTGAAAATTATAAACCAAGGCCGAATGACAGTTGATCGGTCGCCGTTATTGTCATTTCGTGCCACGAAACGCGAGTCGCGCGTCGATATCGGGAAACGTTGCATAATATTTCCTCCCGCGCGATTATGTTTTTCTCTTTTTTTTTTTTTTTTTTTTTCATTTTTTTTACAAATGACCGTGCACACAGCCTCGAGAGATCGTGTGTTAAAAATTTGTTTGTCACGCGGGAAGATGGATCGTGCGCGCGTGGACTGTCACAACGTTAATTGCGTTAATAAAGATCGTGGTCGATAAAAAAAAAAAATAAATCTACTACGACCAACATAACGGTAACGGCGAAAACGAATACGCGATTCCCTGCCGTGAGATATAGTCGTAAATTCTCGTCGTTTTTTTTTAAAAAAGCCAGTCACGATTTCACGGGGAAATTATATCACCAAGTATCTCGAGTGTGATCGTCTCTCGACCAATTATTCCTCGTCTTTGTCGCGTTGAATGCCGCTCGTATCGCGTGTTTATCCTCTCGTTGGCTCGTTTAATATCGCGAAATAGCGAAACACCACTGTCACTCAAACGCGATATCGAGGGGTTCGAAATATAATTCCCTTATTGACACTGATTAGAGATTACTGAAAATTACGGAGGGCCGACACGGTGAATGACTGGGTAATTGTACGGAGAGATAAAGCTGTGCCGATCGGAATTTGCGCGGTCCATCGCCAACATCGTTGGATTTAATTTTCTTGCGAAAATTTTCACGCGTCCAATTATATCCGTACTCCTGGAAAATTTCGTTGTCGAAATCGTGATACGAGCGAAACGAGCGATTAGAAAATCGCTACTATCGAACGAAGGAAGGAGAAAGGAAAGGACCGTTTGAACCAATCGAAAGATCAAATGTTTAATTAATACACGAATGGCCGAGTGCAAAGGTAGGTCGCGAAGAGTTCGAAATTGCCATCGCCGTGAAATACTTGGACAAAGGACGGATCCAATAATTCCGTAAAAAAGGGAGGATGTTCGCCGGTCCCTTTTCTCCTCATCTTTTTCCCTCCGTGCTATTTCCATCTTTACCCGATAGTTGGTGAAAATCTTGGTTCTCGGGCAAGTTACGGCATTGCAGTGTGCAGAGGCCCTCCACCCATCGTCGAATCGATTCGACAGAGGCCCTTCCACGCTTAACCTCGCCACGACGATATAACAACCACCGACGGTCGAGCTCGTGTGCACGCTCTTCTCTACTCCTTCCTCCACTCTTCACGTTATATAAAACGTATACGTACGTACGCTGATGAAACGCACGCTCGAGTTGCCGGCAAATCTGGCTGACAAAATCCGATTGATCGAAGAGACTTAAAGCGTTTCGAGAGAGTGAACGGGGAGTCGATGCTAATAATATAATTAATCGTCGGTCTCGCCTCTTGTTTTATTTCTTGGAAACACGCGAATCGGCATAATCGGCCCCCGTTTAAAGAACCGTCGATAGGTATCTCGAGGTTTTAACGCTTTTCAACTTATCAAGATCGTTTGACCGTAAGAAAAATTTGCTCGAATCTCGACGAATCGGACGAGCACCGCTTCTCTTTATTTTCGGGACGCGAAGCCGTGTTGCTTTCGATCCGACGTGTAAACGCTCGTGGAAACGAGCGAACGAACACGAGTTGTGGAGAGGGTTCTCGAGACACGGAGGCGTCGACGCGTAGCTGCGTGCACCTTGTCGAGGAGTCGTAATTCTTGAAAAGGGACAAAGATTTCGGTAATATGGAAATCTAGGACGCGATTTCAGATTTGGATTCGCGAAATTGTACGGTGATTCGTGGACACCGAATGATCGATCGTATCTTGTGGCACGGTGATTTCTTTCGAGAAATGACAGATGAAATTTTTCAAGGAGAAAAGAGAGAAAATTTTATAAAACGTTTTCAAAGTTTTTCTTTCTTTCTTCTTTTTTTTCCTTGAGAAAAAGGAAAACGAAGAGGAATTCGGAAGTAAAAAAAAAAAAGTTTCGGCCGATGATACGATGGAATCGTAGTATAAGGTGTTTCAAAGTATATAGGAAGATGTATCTCGAAAACTTTTAGAAAATTGTGATTGTCTCGGACAAAGAAAGATATTTTCTCGAGATAAATGAGTCGGGAATCAATCACGCGAGCGTGTGCTATATCTCGCTACCTTTCATCTCTCGTTCGCTCGTTTCATCTACGCTATACACATCGGTATCGTTCGTTTCGCCTTAATTTTTCTTTCCCATTAACGCGAACGTGTCCATCGAGCAACCGGGTTTTCCTACCGATGAAAAAAGTTTCGTATAAAGAAATCCCGCTTCGACACGAGGGATTAACGCGTTTACGATATATAAACACGACTCTTTATCCACGACAGCTGAAACTTTCATTTATTCTCCAATTAGGGAATGTCGCTCGGAATTAAGCGTAACTTTTGATTAGATTTTACTTTCGCAAAGTAATGCCCCAGAAATTATGATTCGTCTCGTTCTCTACGACGTACAATTACAATAATTACAATGATTAACATAATTGTGTAATTAGAGAAACAATCTGATTTAGCGATCGTTCGCTGCCTCCTTCTGAAGAAATAAATAAAACGTTGTTCAAACGAAAGAAAATTCGAATCATCGTATGGGAACGCGATTATTCGGTTAGATTATTTGGACGATTTCCTTGTTTCCGGAAACGAGGAAAAGTAGGAAAAAATTGTTTCAACTTATCGCTTGTTTTTTCCCTGAGATAAAAAAAAAAAGAAGAAAAAAAAATGGAAAAAAAGTATTTTCGTCTGTTAATGCGCGGCCGAGATTCTTTTGTTGAAATATCGATTCGCGGGTGGAAATTCGTCCCGTTACCTTGACCAATGACATTTCCTCCGCTTTCCAAAAAACGAGAATGTATTTTTCAGTTTCCCGTTCCACGTTCCATTTGGGGAAACGATCTCCGCGCGAATAAGCGCGCAACAATAGATCAATACCACCTTTGCGATAATTGACCCGGTGCTAGCCGAATTCTCGCGATTCGTTGGCTCGTTTCTATAAAAGGAAACGAAGAAAAAGGAAAGGGAAGAACGTCTCTCTTTCCATCGATGTTGAAAAAGTAAATCGTCGTCGGTTCTAGTTTTAGATTTCTTTAGATTCGGTGATTTTCGGTAAAACGTCAAAGGTCGCGCGATGCGAATAAAAATTGTGCGATCGGATCGAGCGTAGTACGTAGTTCGTAAGGATCCACTCGATTTACATTTTTGATTTGTCGTTGGATTCGTTGAAATTGTTATACGATTTGAAGACGAGAAACTCGTGATCCGTTGCATCGATTATGGAACGGAGGAAGAAAATCCAGGTCAACTTTCCGGCTATTAGTCTCTCTCTGTCGCGGAGAGGTTTGTTAAAAAGAACGATCGGGAAACGTAATATCTTTTGATGTTCGATAATTTGGTCTCGGTGGAATCTTGGCCACTCGAAACGTCATTCGGGAATCCGAGTCGAAGGGATGTTTTCAACGGCGAGAATGGTATTTCGTTCGATCTCGCGATGCGCGCGTATACACGTTATATACTCTGCTTGTACTCCTATTGGAATAATAGGAACGCGTGGACGGGAATGCTCGAGCAAAGCGTGTAACTTTTCCTAATTAAATTTCGCGCATCGTCGTAGTTGGAACCGATTTCGTCTACGTACGTGGGATACACTTGTACGCGAAAGAAAGTTGGACGCGCATGATCGAGACTAGCTGTCGGTTTCGTTAGGCTTTTGTCGCTACAACTCGGACGTAACTAAACTTTGACTTTGCGCAAAAATGATCGCCTCTGATGGTACGTCACGTACTCCGCAAATGGTATGCGCTCTAGATTTCTTTATGAGTCTCGTCTCGTCTTCCGCGAGGAAACACGCAATTAAGGAATTCTTCCGTACTCTTCCGTCGAGGAACGGAAGAAGAAGCACGAAAACTTTGCGACGCGAAAACTTGCGCTCAAAGCGGAATCTTCTCGCCTCGGATGTCTATCTATTCGTTACGGTCGAAACATTTCATAATCGTATTTGAAATTTATCGTGCATTTTTTTTTTCTTTTTCTTTTCGTTCGATATTTCGTTTCTTCATAGACTGGATTCTTCTCGAGAATCGCATCGCTTTGAAAAAATTTATTTTTCTATCGATAGTTGTTTCGTTTCGAAATTTATTAGATTCCGTGCAGTCGTTCTTTTTCCAAACTCTGTATCGATCCAATCCATCGTGACGATATTTTTCCCCCGTATCATTCTTTAAAGCATTCTCCCACTGAGAATACCTCGATTTTTGTATCTTTCCCTTCACATTCGTCCCGTTCCCTCAATAACGATCATTTAACGAGATTTAAATAAATAATAGAAATAGATAAAACTACGTCTCGACGTAGAACGTAGAAAACGTAGAACGCGACGAAATTGTTCATTCGATCCCACGACTACCTACCTACCTAAATTCAAACGGTCGAGCAAATTTCAAATTGTCGTCAACTTCTTTTCAAAGAAGAAAGTTCATCGCCTCGATTAACGGGGAATTTCGAGGAATTTTTCCAACGATGGCAAAGTTGAACTCAGCCGTGCGAGATAGGTCGTTAGAACGATGCGAAACACGGTGCCACGCAAACACGCCAACGTGGAAAACGAGGATCGTGACACGATTCGCTTTAATTAATCCTTGTCCACTGAATCGAAATTCAGCGTCAAAATTACCGTATCGATCCGCATCAAACATCTCAGAAACACCAATCATCGTGCCTCATAATTATTAACAGAATCAAGCACTTGTCGTTCGCGACCACAGAGCCTCTTCCCTGCTTTTCCTCTGCAAGCTTGCGAGATGTCGCGAACAAGAAAGAAAAAAAAAATAAAACTGCATTCGGGAAATGAGATGCCGTCGTATCGATCGAAGGTCGCAAGTATTTGCACGATTGTAGTAAGTAAGTTTCAAGGATTCCGCTTCTTTTTTCTTGTTTTTTTTTCCCATTTCTTCTTTTTCTACTTTTCTTCCTCCTCCTCCTCTTCTTCTTTCACATCTCTCCTCTTCTCGTCTCTTTCTAATTTTTCCATCGCTACTTCTTTTCTTTCACCAGTTCTTTTCGTTCGCTAATCGAGGCACGCGACCTTCGACTGGGTTTACGACGCCGCATACTCATCCCTCTACACGACGCGTAATCTCTCTGTGCACAAGTCGATGTGAAACGCTTTCGCGAGCACTGCATTCTCGTGTGACTGTGCGCCGCTTGCGATAATCACGAATCATCGAACAAAACTACAATTACTCGATTGTCGTTACTGTGATTGTAACTGGGTGTTTCTTGCTTGCAGCACCAGAGCGCCGCCCAGGCATTGGTGAGTCGCATGTCTCTATCTCTTTTTTTTCTATCTCTATCTATCTATCTATGTATTTATCTATCTATCTATCTATCTATCTATTTATCTGTATCTTTATATTTTCTCTATGCGTACGTATATCATTTCGTTTCACGATGGTTGACAAAACTTTTCTATACACGATCGCCGCGTTGCTAAACTTTGCTTTATTATCGTATACGTGATATATCGATTCTTGTTCTAGCGGAACGAAAGGAACGAAACGCCGCGGAAAGAAAGCGAGGATTATCTTTGGCGAAAGTTTAGCAATCGAGGCGTTTCTACGCGATGCATGATTCTGTGTCCTCGTACTTTGCCACGTCATATGCCTTTGATCGATGTATTTATTCATAACAAAGCATCAAACTGAACCGGAAGTTCCAAAAGTCGCGCAATCGTCCCTCGATTCTCCGCGATGCATTCTCTCCAGTGTTGCTAGAGGGAACTATACTGCGCGACTTTCGGAGCGGAAATTTGACGTATAATTGAATGATACCAACGATTCGAGGGGATGGGATCGGTTTGTTAAAAATTGACGAGGTTTTAACGAGAGAGCAACGATGGAAAAAAAGGAAAAAAAAAGAAAGAAAGGATATTGGAGGAATGGATTCAAGGGTACGAGGCAGAGAGAGAGAGAGAGAGAGAGAGAGAGAGAAGAGAGGGAGAGAGGAAGGCTGTTCACCCTCGTGAGATTTTGATGCACGGCCTCGTTGTCACCTTCTTCGAATTGAGCCGTTGCAGTTCTGATCTATCTCCCTTTCATCAAGCCCCCTTGATCGGTTCGGGATGCACCGATGCAGTCAGGTCCGCTCCGCGCACGAGAAGTGGCAGCTACGACAAAAAAGAATCGTTTATCCATGCCCTCAACCCCGTTTCCGCATAATAGATACGTAGACACGTACGTATGTACACGTACACACACACAGGGGCAACATCCATCATGAACACGTATGTACACGATAAGACGGTGACACGTGGGGGACAAGAAGGAAAAGGGATGAATAAAGAAAAGAGAGAGAAGGGGGGGAAGAAAAATTGGTTCGATCGGTTGAAAGTTGCACGCGATTTCTGTTCTTTCGATAACGACGTCCACAATCGTAATTTCGGTTCGATTCGAAATTATTTTGGATAGATGGTAGCGAAAAGAGTGTTAACCGATCGAGACGGTTCGTTCCCTCGTTATTGTTCGTTTTGACGATGATGATGGAGCCGTGCTAATTCCACGAATATCTCGTGTGAAAGAAAATAAATCGGATCGAACTAGAATTTAAGACTTGATCGAAGGATATAATAATTTATGCGTTCGTCCGACGTAACCGACGTCAAAGGTTTTTCTCGTTGATTAGATTTGAGAAATGGAAAATAGGAATCGTGGGTCTGAAAGTCCGATGGCGAATCCGATTGAATTAATCAGTATCGAACGCTCGTGTTTTCTATCGTTGCGCGCGGCTCCGCCCCCTCGTCGCTTTTGCAATTCTATCACCGTGATAAACAATGTTTTGAGGAAATGTCAATGATTCACGAGGTTAACCGGGTCCTCCGCGGACTTAAACCAGATTACTTTCCCGAACGTTCAATCGTCTACGCTTGATCGATGGAAATATTCACGGAAAGGTGGTGTGCTCGCATTCCTCGAAAAATCGATGCCCACGGACCCACGATCGACCTAGTTTTCGACCATCGGGGGAGATAAATCAAACCCTCGACTCTCGAAGCTCGCTCGAAGAAAGGGAACTACTCCGATAAGATTTGGGAGAATTCAACCGAGACTGTTGTCCTTTATCGCATATTCTATATGAGAAAAGTTGGGCCGAGTGATTTTCTATGGCAAGGCAAACTGGGTCGGAAATAAAAGTTGCGTAATTGCGGCTCTGTCGGTTTAGGATGGTCGATTTTCGATCGAGAGACGGTGACCGGAGAGAAGAGATATAATTTCGCGAAGCAAAACAACCCCGTGTAAAATTATTCCTGGTTAATGTAACCAGTCTCGATTGGCTCTCTCTCTCTCGGATCTAAATAAAACGGTCGGTATTTCGTCTTCGTAAACTGTATTACGATGGCTCGGTAAGACATCCTGTCGAAACGGAAATCGTAATCGGATTCAATGTCGAAACATCCCTTGACTTTTTTGTACCCGTTCTTTTCAGACCTGTGGAGCACGAGTCGAACGAACGATCGAGGAAAAAAAGTTACAAGATCCGATTTCGTAGCGGTTCTTTTTCTCGTTCTTATCCTCCTTGGCGAGAGGTCGAGTCGGGGAAAATTTACTAGTCTCCGGAGTTCGATTCACCAGTCCATTTCCACGTCTTTTAATTTCTCCTTGCCTCGCTCGATCGCCTCTTCTCTTGACTCGCCCCGTTTCGTTCCTTCGACTTTTTATCCAGGCATCCGAATAATACCCTTCTTCTTCGCAATTAGTTGTTTTAATTCCAATCAATTAGTAGTCTCCGCGATATGATAATTAGAAGCGGCGAATCGACTAAAACTTATTATAAATCGACAACGAAGAAGCTACGCTATCTCGCGATTCCTCTCGAAATTGTTGTAAATAAAAGAAAATTACCGATGGATAGAAAAAAGATAATTTTTTAAAATTCCGATCAACAATATCATCGCTTATAGAAAGATTGCGATCGATGAAATTGCAAAAGAAATGACGAATCGTTGCATCGCGACTAGAATTTCGATGTTAACGACGATTTAATCCGCATTAACGTCCACGAATTGCGTTTCCCGTTACGTTAAATATTATTTATAATATCCTATGGCCACCGCGATATTTATTGCTTCGTAAACGGATGCGACCGCTGTCCGTTCATTCTGGCGCAGAAGTTGTCAATTATAGACCGCAATATTATCCAACGTACGGGTAAAAGTTTCGATTGCAACGCTCCACTTTTACTCTTTGTGTTTGCGATTTGCTTGGGGAGCCAATAAAAACTGCAATCTGCTCGATAACTATTTTTGTTGTTCCACGGATGTGCTAGTTGCTCGTTTTCAAAAACCACGTATCGTATCTCGATAAAAGAATAATCGCAAAATAGCGAAACGGTACATTATACGCGAAATTCGTATGTATTAATCAACAATATCGATCGATAGAAATGATATCGGATAAACTTTCGATCGTACGATAATGGCCTAGTTCACCGATTCTCTTAAAAAGAGTTGTATGAGTTAGTTTATGAAACGCGAGTGATTTTTTTCTTTGTCAATTGTAAATAGTTTTCAATTGCGAACGTACAGAAGCGTTGACATATTTGTGAGAAATCTTTGGAGGATCGATTTTAGGGGCTAAAACAAACGCAAAAGTTTACGCGCAAAGTCGATTAAGATTTATTAAGTCAAGTTATGAACAATTTAAGTTCGAGGAAACAAGATATAGATAGTTAAAGCAACGTGAATGGGAGGTCCTCGACTTAAGTAAAGTTGTAACGAAAAGCTCTACTAGCCTATATAAAGGCAAGATTTTGATATTATAATAATAATACGGAACAAGGAGAAACGATTTTAAAGAGCGCGCAAACGTGTCTAGGTTAGGAAGAAACGGTCATGGAAAGACGACGACAGTGAATCGAAGCCGACCCGATCATTTATTTACGAATATTCCAGCAACCCTTGGTCTAAGTGCATGCAAGCCCGGATGCGCACATAGGTAATGCACACATTCTCCATTCGATGCTTTGATATTAACTGTTCCATTCATGCCGCGGGAGTGGCTTTTCGATTCATTGCCATCCACTGGGCCTCCTTTGGTCCTTGCCTCGTATAAGAATTTAAATTATAAATGTCAATGTGACAAATAACAAAATATCTGGAATAAGATTTCTTTAAATTTTTGCTAATCCTCAAAATTGACGATAAGACAAAATTTAATTTGCGGTATTATATGCATTAAGATTTAAGAATCTAACGATAATGTCAACCTAATATCTTTCATGACGGAACGATATATCGATATATACAAATTATTTGTATATCGAGCTACGATTTTTTTCATTGTTCACTTTAACGATCCCAAAATAATTACAAACTTTTTCATTCGCGTCCTAATTGATTCCCCTCCGGTTTGAGTAGCTCGTTGAATGTAGCTTACTTTTGCGTTGTTTGACCTACTTGCCATCCGCGATGAAATATTTTAACCCCGGGTGCTCGTTCAATTACGTCAAACCGGTCTTCGAAACAAAAGATTCGGAAGACAGCCGAGAATTTCCCTCGTGTCGTCGCATCGTATGTCGTACACGCCTGTGCAATCTCTATTATTTTTAATCCGACATCGGTAATTTCAAGTTTGTCCATTGTTGGTTACTCTTCTCTCCTCGGTGATTCTATCGGTTGTTCGAAGGTCTCGTTATCAAAATTCTCTATCAAGGACTCGTCTTCTTCGTGCAGATTCGACTGATCGTTCAACGATATAAATACCTTGGTAAACATCCAAAGATACGGGTCTTAATCTTCGAAAGGCTCGTCGTTGAACCATCTTTCTCGAACGGGGATCGATCGATAACAGTTTCGAGGAAAATTCGAGCAAACTTGACGCGGGTGATACGCGAGACCGCGAGATTGATCCGCCAAAGGTGTACAGGTGCTTGCTTCTCTGGGAATATCTGGGAGCACGGAACGAGGCTTCCCAGGTTTATTTACAGGGTGAATTATTGTTTTCGCGTCCAGTTGGACACGGTAGAAAAGTTTGTTTGCTCGAAACATCGCCGTCCTTGACGAGTCGGTGCAAAAGATGTCTGTGACAATCGAGTGGCCGGGGCATTGTTCAAATGTGACGAAGAAGCGAGTTCAAATGAATCCCCGGCCTCACTTGGCCTACTCGCTGCATTTGCCTCGACAGTGCACTCTTGAAATATTGCCAGCTGCGATAAACGCCTACGCTCTCGTTCAATGCGACTCTGTTTCGAACGGACGTGTTACACGTGAAAAGGGAGGAAAGTAGAAAAAAAGAAAAAAAAAGAGAAAATAGTGGGAGA